CAACAGCCTCATGAACTGCCTAAATTAAGAGTCTCTGGATTGTGTACACAATGGGGTTAACTGTTTGTGGACTTTGTCTTTGGTCTGATGCTCACCAGCTCTCTCGTTGATATGTACTGTTGGGGCCTGGGATAGAGGCAAAGAGTGAGAGAGAGTCGAAGGAAATCAACATCATTTTAAATCCATCACATGCATGTAGATTTAACAGCTAGTTTCAATGGTGGCAATAAACTAGCGGAAAGCTATGTCATAAGATCTGAATCCTTTGCAGACTTTGGGCAAGTCTACACTACTGCGCTACATTGGCGCAGCTGCATGCGCATCTGGTGAAGATGTGCTATGCCAAGGGGAGAACACTCTGCTGTCGACATAATTATTCCACCTCCACAAGAGATGGAAGCTATGTCAGCAGGAGACATAGTGCCAGTGTGGACAGTGCTTAGGTTGATGTAACTTACTTTGCTCGGAGTGTGTGTCTTTTTCACACTCCTGAGTGATGTAAGTTACATCGACTTAAGCAACGCTGGCAGTAGTAGTCATGAATTTGTATGCAGGCAATCCAGAACATTGGTCATTCTGCACTGGACTTGAAAATAGCAACAACATTTAGAGCATCTTGGATGGTTAAAGAGCATAACTGTATCAGAATCACAGTGCTCCTCAAAGATAAAAAGAAAAAAAGGGACTAGAACAACTGCCCTAAAAATTGTCAGTTTCTTTTAGGCACCCCAGGAAACCATGGCTTTTAGGTCATCCATCTAGCAGTTACTTACGTGAACAAAAATGGATAAAAAATAATGATTATTGTTGTGTCTTGAAACATCAAAACAGCTCAGGATAGGAAAGATTGATTCTGCCAGAGAGAAAGTGTGCCCTGTTTTTCAAACAATTAACATATAACCATACAGATACCGCTGCATTAAGTGACTTCCCAAGAAGATTGAACTAACCAAAGTTTGTGTGCGATGGAGTGCTTACCTAGTGGAGGAAATCATAGGAACCCAAACTTGCTGGTACTGGATTTAAACTTTGAAATCACTTCATTTAATAACTTGATAGCTTAGAAATGGGAAAAGTAGGGCTGGCTGAAAATCTGCCATCAAAAGTTTTTTTCGATGGAAAAATGGGATTTTGACTACATTAAAATGTTTATAGAAAGTGTCTGATTTCCTCAGGATTTTCTGGTTTTTCATTGAAAAACTGAAAATATTTGACTGAAATCTGATTGTTTTTATATGACAAAAAGTCAATTTTCGGTGGGGAAAAAATTCTGACCAGCTCTAGGAATAAGTGTGTGTGTATGACACTCAATTGCCACTTTAACAAAAAGGCCATGCTTCCTGCAGTGCACTGTACAGTGCATGTACTTTGACTAATAGCAATGAGAAAAAAGGGGAATTTGTACAGCAAATTAGATGAAGCTATCAAAAGACCCCCAAATGCTGAGACGTGTCTCCTTTTAAGTGACTTCAGTGACCAATAAGGAGCTGACAGTGCCACCTATTATGAGTTGACTGGATGAGTGTAGCTAATGGAAACAGCAGCAGATCTTTGCTAAACCAAAATAAACACCGCTGGATTCATGAAAAGAAAGCATTAGGATTCAGGTGATGATAATGATAATGAAATAATGGCAATATTGAAAGAAAGAAAAAAAGGAAAGCCCCACAGGTATACCATTTCAAAGTTACTGAAGTTCAAGAAGCAAAAATTCATACTTTTGTTCCATCTTTCAATATAATTGATGACAATTTTTAAGTATTAGAGTGAGACTAAACTAAAGTACTGAAAGTAGGATGGAGTGTTATTAGGGATTTTAAAAAGACAGGACTAGGGGAAATCTCATTTCTGAAAATCTCATATTTTGGTCTCTTGCAATTATATTAAATACTTCATTGTGAAATTCTTAATTTTTTTAGCATTATGTATCCATTTTATATTGTGGGGAAAGAATTTAAAACATTTAAAATATTTATAATTTATTACTATTTTATAGCCCCCAAAAATGTGCTGGGCATTTATAGACAGGCAGTAAGACAAAACCTTGCCCTGAGGAGCTTTCAGTCTAAAATACATCATATAGGACAGGAGGAGGGGAAAGGATGCAGGTTCTTTAACTTGAGCAGACTGAAAGCCTCCATAAAAGTGACCAGGTTATATCAGAGAACTTGATGCAAATATTTTTGCTCTTGTTGCACACATTCTAGAGTTCATTACTAACCCAATGTATATAAAATAGGTCAGATAAAATAAAAGCAATGTACTACTCTGTACCTGGGAAAGCATATGTAAGACATAGCACTAGAATCAGTGGTGGGAAACTCAGTGTGATAATTGATTTTAGTTACCTTATGGAATTTTGTCAAAGAGGGCCTGCACTGACCAAAAATATGCTACCTGAATAAAAAAAAAGACACAGAAAAGATATTTTGAATATAGCAAATTGCATCTTTCAGTCAGGCACCAGTAAGGTATCACACAAAAGACCAAAGTCTACATTTACTCTGTTGTAGGTTGCCATCTGTGAAACAAAGACAAGTTATCATCTCATCAAGGAGAATAAAATATTTCATCACCATTAAGCTATTATGCATAACAAATGGCAGGATAATATCATAAACAGTGAGCTTCTGCAAAGAGAATGCATAATGAGCAATCAAGCAAACACAATAGCACAGCTTTATTGGACGGGACGTGTCCCCAGATGGCACCCACAGGGCTCAGAAAGAAAATGTTGTATAGTGATTTGTTAAGTAAAAACAGCCAGAAATGAAGATGCAGAAAGATATCTTGAAAAAGAACCTTGCACATTGTGACAGATGGCAATTTGTGAGAAGTGACTGCAGCAAACCAAACAGGTTGCATAGTCAGGGTAACATTTGCAAATCCATGGAGAGCTTGCAAAATGGGCCATCACAGATAAGGACAAATGATGATGACACTCTAGGTGTGTCTCACTGTGCTCTTAGCTGGTGGAGTATGGGGTGAAAATACTGTGTCCATACCATGCTAAATCTCACAACAGCATCAGAACTCACTAAACCAGCAATCACAAAATATCACAAAGGCAGGATAGTGTTAAAAATAATTCAGTAATATCCAACACTTGATACTGCAAAAACAGTCCAGTTTCCTCAAACCACAGCTGCCAGAGGATTTGTGGTCCTCTGAGGCTTAATCCACATGAGGAAGATCACAAGAGTACTGACAGGTGAATCTTACAAGGTTTAGAGGTTGATTTCAAATAAGCAATCCAGGGTCCGGATGTTGACCTGAATTTACTAAACCTTGTATGTATACAAATATGGGCTGGAAATCTCACAAGAACAGACTTCTGGGCTGCAGTGGGGTTGAGATTCTGGATCTGGCAAAGGAAAAAGTTAATTAATCAAATAACAGCAATTCATACCATCAGACAAATGCTTTTTGGAGGTGACTGATTCTGGAAGCAAGCTGTTATACTCAGTGTTGGTTGGCCATTTCCATGACAATACTCAGAATACTCTTTTAGCTTTTTCAGAAACAGTGCTGGTGTCCAAACATTCAGTGAAAATATTAGGATTATTTGGGGGTACTGCCTCTCCACAGACTGCTACAACAAGCATGCTTGGCAGAATTTTTGAAGCTACCCACACCTTTTGATAAAGTGGGCTGTAGCCCACGAATGCTATTTGACTTATGCTCATCCTTTCCCCTCCTCCTTTATTTGACTTATGTGCAAATAAATTTGTTAGACTCTAAGGTGCCACAAGAACTCCTGTTCTTTTTGCGGATACAGACTAACACGGCTGCTACTCTGAAACCTGTTCTTTTTACTTTAGCACAGAACTTAGAAATTTAAGATAGAAAAGACCTATACGCCATGTGGTCCTTACCCCTTTAGGATCACAGCAAGATTCTTCCATAAAGTATCTTCTCTAGTGCTTTGTCCAGTATAATTTTAATTGATTCAAGTTATGGGACTTCCAACATTTTCCCTGGATACTATTTCAGACTCTCTAAGATCTCTTTACTATGAGAATACACAACACTCTAGCAATAGATGGAATTGACACTTTCTACCGCACTAAGACTTTTCAGCACTATGGTTTATGAAAACGCTTCAGCTTAATACAGCTTTTCACTGCACTGCAACTGTTTTTATAATAACATTATAGTACAATTGATTTTATTATGATTTCATATTGAATATCCCTCTCCTAGACAAGAATAGTTAAAGAGGTATATGCTGAAGAGCTTTTTGCTGCAAATAAAGTGTAATTATTCTTTCTCTGTAATATTCTGAGGGCTGTAGTATAATTTTCTTCATAAAGAAAAGTTGATGATTTAAAAATATTAATACTGATGCATTGTTTGGAATAGACTTCTGATATGTATAATGAAAATGGAAATATACAGAATATGAAAATACAAAAGAGAACAGTAACATTCTATAACAGTAGTTAACTACAACAATCAGAGCAAACAAAATGGAAGAAAAAATAAATACCCAACATAAATCTGAGGGCTTTAGGATTAATTTTCTCTATTTCATACAGGGAAATGAAATTTGGAAAAGAACTTTATTGACTAATTATGCCAGAGAGACACTATCCAGTAGTTGCCTTTTGCAGTTTATTGTCTTACAGAAACCTTCTTGCTATGATGAAAGAGGTGCAAATGAGATGAGTGAGGCAAAGCACTGCACTGATCTAACACAGAGATCCACATTAATACATCCATCCCACTGAAATTACATTTTTTTTCTCAAAGACAGACTGAAAAAAATCAGCAATGTGTGCTTGATTGTCTTGATATTGAAAAAATCCCTTTGGCAAACTTTTCTTGGCATCAACAATATGGTTGCCAAATGCCCTGGGAAGAGGAAACACCCTAATGGTGACACCCAATGTGTAAGGTATAAATAGAAATCGGAGGACATCAAAAATTTACAGTCTGAGTCTTTATCAGGCTGTGCAACTAAACTTGGGCTTTGGGTTGGACGCTTAACTACTATCACTATGAGTCGTAGCACTAAGACTACGATTACCTCTTCTTCAGTTGTTGGTGGCGGTGGAGGACGTAGCTCTAGTGGAGGTGGTGGTGGAGGACGTAGCTCTAGTGGAGGTGGTGGTGGGCATTCTTCAAGCTCCACTAGAAGGATAACCAGTGGTGGAAGCTTTTCTGGTAGAAGTTATGGTGGAGGAGGTTCCAGATGTGATTACGGAGGGAGAATAAGCTATGGTGGTTATGGAGGAGGAATAAGCAGTGGCAGTTGTGGAGGGGTAATAGGCGGTGGTAGTTATGGAGGGGGAATAAGCGGTGGTAGTTATGGAGGGGGCTTTGGATCAAGTTGTGGTGGCTTCGGGGGATTTGATGGCGGTTATGGAGGTGGCTTTGGTGGAGGTGGCTTTGGTGGAGTTGGTGGCTTTGGTGGAGCTGGTGGCTTTGGTGGCGATGATACTGGTATCCTCTCCAACAACGAAAAGATAACCATGCAGAACCTTAATGACCGCTTGGCTACTTACCTGAATAAGGTGCGAGCTTTGGAAGAAGAAAATGCTAATCTTGAGAATTTAATCAAGGAATGGTATCAGAAGAAAGGTCCAATTGCTACATTAAAGGACTACAGTCGCTATTATGGAGAAATTGAACAACTTAACAATGAGGTAAACTATTATTTTTCAGACAAGTTCTATTAATTATAAAGGCTTCTCTTTGAGACTATGCACAGCTACTTAGGCAGACAGCAGATAAAATATTTCATGTAGTATGAGATTACATACAAGCAATAAAAATTAGGACATGATAGCATTAAGGTTACCTGTATAGATGGAATCTTCGGATACTTTACTAAACTCTAACAAGTCTTTATTGAGCATGTGCAATCTCAGATTTTCACAGGCTCATAACTTGGCCAATTTTGGGCTGATTTTATAAGGCATGTCCTTTATGCCAGGGCACACCCTCCTGCCAAATTTTGAGTCTCTATTCCAAAAGATGGAGGTGCTAAAACTCAACAAAATGTTAGTAAGAGCTTTTTTTTTTTTTACATAGACAAAACATTGTATTTCACCTCACCTTGTCTAGAGAAATAGCGGAACCGTTTCTGCTAAAATGATCTATTTTAAAAAGAGGGCGGGACTCCGGCGTGCACAAGCCGAGGGGCAAGCAGGGGCGCCCCCCATCTCCGTGCGGTGTGTTCCTGCAGCCCGGAGAGGGAGGAAGCAGTAGGGCGACTGGCTGCCGGCTGAGAGCTCCTGCTCTGCTCATCCCTACAGCTGCAGCCTCCTGCTTCTCCTTCCTTGCTGTTGGAATCCCACGTGTTGCCCCTGCCTCGCCTGTAAAGCAGACAGCATTGCGGGGACTCCAACAGCAGGCTGCAGCTGGAGCGGTGGAGGGAGGACCCTGCAGCCAGCGGTCATGCTGCTTCCAATCCTCTCTGCCCAGGCTGCAGGGCCACGGAGAGGGCTGCTGCAGGGTGGGGACACCAGAGGCGTCCCAAGAACTGGGGTGTCATGCAAACCTTTCATTTCCCTCCAGAAGTATTCACATTTAAATTCCTGCTCACGCCCCTGGGCGGGAGATAAAAAACAAAACAACCTGAAGCAGACACCGGGCATGGAAAAATGCTCTTAACATTTGGTAAAGCTATAAGCAACTTGTACAGGAAAGCATCAGGCAACCTTAACTTTAGGCATCACTACCTGTGCCACTTGCAATACATTTTGCAGACACAACTGAAGACAATTGATTATAAAAAACTCTTTTGTGAGGGCATCAATACTCTTGTAATCCATTTATAATGGACCCTTTCCTTAACAGAACGACGTTTTTAAAAAGACAAATAGGTTTTAGTCATGGTTTATGGGGGAAATTTTACTAATCTAAGTTAATGAAAAATATTCCTTATAAGTGAAATTGGAACTAGGATGTTTTAATAAAATACTCTTAAATATAATGAGTAAAGGACAAAGCAGTTAGTCTGGTGTAACAACAATTATCAAGCTTCTCTACTGAAGAATGAAAAGACTTTTTCCTAAAATAAAATAATAAATATTTTAGTGATCTAATTAGCTCTAACCAGGCATTTGGGAAAAAATTGCTTTCAAAGTTTATTCTGAAGAAATGTATAAATAACTGATACCAATCTAAGGTACAGGACTGAATAACAAACTTTGGAGGTAAATAATTAACTCATACCACAAACATTAAATCATATTTGACAACATACAGAATAGTCCTATCTATATCTATATACCTATGTATATATTATAATATAACTATATATGTATATATTACTAAATATATTACTATAATTCATACTTAATCTTTCATACATAATCTTCACAGTTTAGATGATAAAAAGCAAAAATTTTCCAAATGTGAACTTGTAAATGCTATTTTATCCCTCCAATGCCATTTTCAGTGGTAAAAAAAACAAACATAAAATTACATGCTTTTGACATCACTTCAGTGAATTAAAGTGTTGTGGATCTTTTCAATAAAAGGAAGAGAACTCTAAGTCTAGACAGGAGTCATATACTAACTGATATCCAGCACATATAGGGGCCTGAGCATTGTTCCACTCATTCCCAGTTTCCCTACCTGCCCACACCTCACTCACTTGCATGGGAGATGGTGGAGTGACTCTGCAAAGGTTGCTTCCCCATCTTGTCCTGCTATCTGTAATGTGAATAGCCAGCACAGGGTGTGTGCATTATGGCCCAGTGTGGGCGTGTAGGATGGGCCACAAGATGAGCCTAGTTTCTAATCTTTACCCAGAATCAAAGTTAGACCTCCCAGCTGTATGAACACTCCAGTATCCTTTATTTGAATGCACCTGTTGTGACATGCAATGGTAATAATGTTTTTTTGCACTGTTATTTTGCGGGATATGGGATGTTTGTTTAATTATTCTCTTAAACAAGGTTTTACATGTTTTAAAAGACATGCAAATCATTAGTGTAGTGAATGCCTCATTAATATATACATCTGCCAAGACGGATTTTCATAGGAAGGTTTCAGAGTAGCAGCCGTGTTAGTCTGTATCCGCAAAAAGAACAGGAGTACTTGTGGCACCTTAGAGACTAACAAATTTATTAGAGCATAAGCTTTCGTGGGCTACAACCCACTTCTTCGGATGCATATTGAGTGAAACATATCGAGGAGATATATATACACACATACAGAGAGCATGAACAGGTGGGAGTTGTCTTACCAACTCTGAGAGGCCAATTAAGTAAGAGAAAAAAAACTTTTGAAGTGATAATCAAGGTAGCCAAGTACAGACACTTTGATAAGAAGCAAGTGTGAGAATACTTACAAGGGGAGATAGATTCAATGTTTGTAATGGCTCAGCCATTCCCAATCCCTGTTTAGCCCTGAGTTGATTGTGTCTAGTTTGCATATCAATTCCAGCTCAGCAGTCTCTCGTTGGAGTCTGTTTTTGAAGTTTTTCTGTTTTAAGATAGCCACCCGCAGGTCTGTCATAGAATGGCCAGACAGGTCATTAGTGTAGTGAATGCTCTTCATAGGAAGAGCACCATTGCATTTGCCTTGTAGGTGAAAAAAAAGCAACAGACACTTGTTTCTCAGATCTTTGGTTTCTCCCACACTGTTTATATATGACACTGCAGTTGTTTGCTCCCTTTTTCTCTGTGTCAGACAAAAGAGACTGCAGGGCTGAATGTCATCTGTCACCTCTTTTTCAGATTGTTAATTCATCTGTGGAGGTTAACAAGGTCATTCTGAATATTGATAACACTAGGATGACTATTGAAGACTTTAAACTGAAGTGAGTATCTCTCTTCCTTCCTGCCTGACCCAGTCATTTCCACCTCTTCACATCAGTTCCATGAATCCATTATCCAAAGCAATTCATATAGGGGGTTACAGTATTTACTTCCAACTAGATGACAGAACAGTTATTGGAAAGAGAAGTACTCCAGGAACCACTGGCTTTTTAAGATTTACATTATCATTTTTCTCTAGAGATGCTTTTGAACAGGGGCATTCCAAGGACTTCAGTTCGTTGTCACCCACAACTTTCCTTGTGTTTCTTAGGTATTACGAATTTAGGATCAGATCCTCAGCTGGTATAAATTAGTGTAGCGCCATTGACAACAATGGGGTTTTGCTGATTTTTAACCACTGAGGATCTGACCCTTAGTTTTACACGGTAATTGAACAAAAAATTGATGATTCCTCACTGAAAAAAGGAGACACTGGTAGGTGATATCTGTACAATGCCTACAGTGAGTGGGAACATGGAAAAGACTGAGGAAGGAGTGCTTGATTGTACTAAAAATCCAGTCCATGACATTGAACTAATAGGTCAGATGGTCAGGAAGTGCTGCACTCACCTACACAGGTGTTAATCAGGAGTAGCTCCATTGGAGCCAATGGGATTAAAACAGTGTAAAGTCAATATAAATGCAAAGAGAATCAGGAATAAGCAAAGAGATTAAAATAAGGTAGAAAAAGGCAACTAGGTGATGAGGACCTGTTCATAAACAAACCTGATAGTGCTAAGAATGCTAACCTAGTATTCCTCTGGCACCGCTGTTACTGACTTTCTTTCCCGTGGTTTAGATATGAGACTGAATTGGGTCTCCGCCAGAATGTGGAGAGTGATATTAATGGCTTACGCCCCCTGTTGGACCAGCTGACCCTAACCAGGTCTGACCTGGAATTAGAGTTTGAATCCCTGAAGGAGGAACTGATTTCTCTCAAGAAGAACCACGAGGAGGTAAAATCCCCCCTTAAAATAATAATGAATGAAAATTCAATATTCAAAGAGTTTCCTTGGCTACTAGTCACCAAATTTTGCCCACTGATTTTGAGTGTCCAACTTGAGACATCCTGGGCCTGATTTTCAGAGCTGCTGATTGCCCACCGCTCTCACTGACTTAACCAGGTACACTTCTTGTTCGGGAAAGGGATGGCTAAGTGAAGTCTACTTTGAACGTTAGACCAAACTAGATTAGGGAAATGAGCAGCTTTCATTCCCCAAATTCAATTCATTGGTGAAGCCATGGAAGAAAACAATAGATTTCATGTATGTAAAAGCCACAAGGAAATATTTAAGCTTCTTGTGAAAATATTTTTCATGGAAGAAGTGTGATGCATAAACGGACTACCATAATGAATGCTCAGCATGCAAGGTCCACAACACACTGGAAATCAAACACCCCACAGGAGGCAGAGTTGGGGCTGAGCATACAAAACTGGCCCTTTCACAGAGTAAAACAGTGTTGGCCATTGTGTAGTTTAACTAGGGAGACAAAGGTGTGGATCCTGCTCCTCTCCTGGCATATGACAAAGGAGGGTCTTGTGAGACATAAGGGGTGAATATCAGAATCTGGCCACATGAGAAAGGGTTGTGTTGGCAGTGGGAGGGTTGTCTTCCAAACCCTCTTTGCTAAAATATGAACTCAGAATGAGGTCTTTGTTTTTGGGGGGCCTGGGTTTTCATTGCAGGAACTTAAAGGACTGCAACCACAGGCCAGTGGTGATGTTAATGTGGAGGTCAATGCTACTCCAGGCTACGATCTGACGGAAATACTAAATGACTTGAGAAGAGAATATGAGCATATCATTGAGAACAACCGTAAAGAGGTGGAAAAATGGTATGAAACCAAGGTAAGTTGCAGTAGCTATAACTATATCTCTCACAAAAAGACTTGACATACTTTGTTAGCACACACAAGTATAATAGTGGTAGGACAATTGTTCACATGTTACTTAATGCAGATCATCTTTAAATTATGCTGACAGTTTAGCATGAGAAGTTCAGAATTGGAGCGAAAGGGTTTGCTGCGAGCTAGAATTCATAGAATCATAGAAATGTGGGGCTGGAAGGGACCTTGAGAAGTCAGGTCCAGACCCCTGCACCTATGGCAGGACTAAGTGAACCTAGGCCATCCCTGACAGGTGTTTGTCCAACCTGTTTTTAAAAACCTTCAATGATGGGAATTCTACAACTTCCCTTGGAAGCCTATTCCAGAGCTTAACTGCCCTTATAGTTAGAAAGTTTTTCCTAACATCTAACCTAAATTTCCCTTGCTGCAAATTAAGCCAATTACTTCTTGTCCTATTTTCAGTGGACAGGGAGAACAATTGATCATTTTTTACCGCAGAGCTTAACATATTTGAAGACTATCAGGTCCTCCCTCAAGGCTCCTTTTCTTAAGATAAAGTATGCCCAGTTTTTTTAACCTTTCCTCAGAGGTCAGGTTTTCCAAACCTTTAACCATTTTTAATACTCTCCTTTGGATTCTTTCAAATTTGTCCATGTCTTTCCTAAAGTGGGGCATCCAGAATTGGACACAGTTCTCTGTCTGGGGCCTCAACAGTGCAGAGTAGAGTGAGACAATTACCGCCTGTGTCTGTTAATACACCCCAGAATGATATTAGCCTTTTTTCACAGATGCATCACATTGTTGACTCAGATTCAATTTGTGATCCACTAGAACCCCAGATATTTTTCAGCAGTACCACCATCTAAATAATTATTCCCCATGCAGCCCTTCTCAGCTTGGTGTCACCTGCAGATTTTATAAGCACTCTCTCCACTCCATTATCCAAGTCACTAATGAAAACATTGAATAGCACTGGATCCAGGATTGACCCCTGAAGAACCTACTACATACACCCTCCAAATTTAACAGCGAACCATTGATAGCTACTCTCTAAGTACGGTCTTTCAATCAGTTGTGCATCCACCATTTAGTAATTTTATCTAGACCACATTTCCCTGAGGTGAACTAGTAGATATGTGGAATCCCTGTATTAAATAGCAAGGGGAATTCAAACCAGGCCTGGGGTGCACTGGCACTGCAGAACTGTGTGTGGAAAGTTTACACAGCCCAGTTTACATTACTCATAGACTCAGACTCATAGACTTTAAGGTCAGAAGGGACCATTATGATCAACCAGTCTGACCTCCTGCACATTGCAGGCCACAGAACCTCACCAACTCATTCAGCCTCTAGCCAGATTTACTTATTTTTGTAGATGCTTTCATGATGATAAATTCACCATATTCACCCTATAATTAAAGTGAAAACATCTTGATTGTGTATTTACATTTTTCAGATTTCAGAAGTTAATCACGAAGTCCACTCGAGTGGTCAGGACATAGAGTCAGGCAACAAACAGATCACAGAGCTGAGACGTGAATATCAGAACGTGGAAATCGAGCTGCAGTCCCTCATCAGCACGGTATGTAACAGCATTTGCTTCTGTATCTCACAAATGAAAAAGGACATATGGATTACAGGCATGACGGGAGACCAGGCACAGCTAGTGCTGCATTAGTAAAGGGTGAGATGGCTAGTACATCTGTTGCTGTGAAGGATTTGCCTTGTTCTTTTTGCCCTGGAGAATCCCAGTTTCCTGCATCAAAATAGGTTAAATTTGCCACATTCCTACAGACCCTGTTCTTCCTGTTCAATTCTCAGGTACAGTCTTTGCAGTCCTCCTTGGCTGACACAGAAGGTCGCTACAACATACAGCTGAATCAGATCCAGACCATTATTGTCTCTGTGGAAGAAGAACTGGCAAGTATCCGATGTGAAATAGATAATCAGAATCAAGAGTACAGACTGCTCCTTGGCATCAAGAACCAGCTGGAACAGGAGATCGCTCAGTACCGGCATCTACTTGATGAAGGAAATCAAGAAATTAGGTATGTGAACTATAGAGATATCAGGGCATTACATGAAACCTCAAAGCTGGTAATTCCTGAGTGTGAATTATAGTACTTAGGAGCAAAGAGAATCATGCAGGGTGAAGAACTGGTACAACAGATTCTGCAGTCACAAAACCTGCAAGGAAAGGGGCCTAATTTCATGCCACTGAGTGATCCTCAAAATATTTGGAGATTTGTTTCATAAACCATAAGGTGCTCCAAAACTCATGGCATTCTTGAATTTTAGAATTGGAATAGAAATCTTATGAGTAAAATTATACTTTAAAAATTGTTCTTCTGCTGTACTACTTTGGGCTGGGCAGGAAATACCATGAAAAGAGCCTTTTTTCCATTCTTTTGTTATTTTTGATTCTAGAAAAAGCTAGGAAGTACAGAGGCAGCAGTGAAAATAGAAAAGAATTTTAGTTTGAAGTTCTAGTGAAAATTCAGGTTATTTTTTATTTTACCTGAAGCAGTTGGCCTGTCCTTAATTCTGATTGGTCTTAACCCATACCATGAAACAAGCAAAAATTAGTTAGCTTTATGCATTTCAACTTTGGATCCCAGTGACACAGTAGGCTTTCAGAACTGGTGGGGCAGCAGAACCGAATCTGGCAAAAAATCTCTGAGCAGGGCTATGGGAAAATTCAACCTGTGGACTCGAGGTTGGTGGGGGGATGGATTTGAGTGTCATTTTCTTGATGATCTGCACTGGCCTTGGGGGTTGAGGGTGCTGGGTAATGGACAGGAAGAAGAGTGCTGGTCAGGCTTCCATGCATCTTCAGTGTGTGGGTCTCCTTTTGTGAAATGATTTGTTGTTTAATTCACTTTTCTCTTTTCCTTTTACAGTATTTCACGAGAAGGAGGTGGCTATTCTTCAGGAGGAGGAAGAGTCATTGGAGGTGGAGGATCAGGAGGCAGAACTGGAGGAAGTAGCATTACTTATGGAGGTAGCATAGGAGGAATAAGAGGAGGAAGTATCACTGGAGGTGGAGGATCAGGAGGCAGAACAGAAACAAGAGAAGGTAGTGTCCATTATGGTGGAGGTGGCACAGGAAGAGGAAGCATCACTGGAGGTGGAGGATCAGGAGGCAGAACAGAAACAAGAGAAGGTAGTGTCCATTATGGTGGAGGTGGCACAGTAAGAGGAGGTGAAATTTGCTCAGGGGACGGAACAGGAGGAAGACCACATGGTGTAACTGGAGGAGGGGAGAGAATTTCAGGAGGTAGTAGTAGTTCTTCCCACTCCTATTCATCTTCCCATGGCCACTCATCTTCTCAACCATCCAAGTCTGGTGAAGTCCACGGTAAGAACTTGTTTTAAGGATAATTGTTTCCTTGTTCTTTACACTCTAATTCAAACAGTAGGCCAATTGCTCATTTGGCTCAAAGGATTCCTTGTGTGGGGCTCTGCAACGTTTTATGAAGTCTCTTTTTTCTTCAAAGTGTACGTGAGGCTGTTGGGGAGACTGAGGTGAATTGGATTGCAGTATCATTGATATGCAACTGGTACACTGAACTGCTTTGTACCTCATTTTTAATCAGGCCCAAATACTCTTTCTTTTCCATTATCTGGGTGTCACAGAGCCCCAATGAGAGTGAGCTGGATGAGGTTCAGTTTGGACATGGCAATAATGATATTAGTTGGTTGGGGTGGGATCTCAAAAGTACAGAGGGGAAGTTTCTGCCCCTGCTACAGAGGAAGTTTGCAATTTGGGAGTGTTCTTCGACTCCAAATTGTTCCTGATGGCACTGTTGGCCAAAAACACCCTTTTCATCTATATCTGGTTAGATGATTGCAATATTTTATTTCAAACCTAACACAATTCTCCAAGTCTTTAATTACAACCACAGCTGATTTTCTTCATCTCATTTACTTTCTGCAGAACTCCATCAAAAATAAAAATTTGTAATAAAGCTCTGGAGTACTTACAGCCATCCTAGCATTTGTCCCCAGCCTGTTTTCTGTGTGTTAAACAGTAGTGCAAAGAGATTCTCTCCCCCCCCCACTAAACAAAGTAATGGTTCCCTCTCTCTCTCAACAGCATACTCAAGAAAATCCTTTGATTAACCAGACATGTCGATGATCCTCCAGCCAAACACCAGACAAAGTTAGAGTGAACTCACCACATTTCCTGCATGCCTAAACAAAGAGCAAGGAGAAATGCTCCTAATAGTTATTCAGTGCTGCTGCCATCTATACATAGGGGTCCATCAGAGCTGTTCAGATGGGCCACTTTCCCGCCTATTGCTACCCGCTTTTTCCATTCTGTAATTCCATTCTGTAATGTTCTGACAATCTGTACCAAGGTTGGTAATCTGCCTTCCAGTGAAAAGTGTCTCTAATAAAACTTTATTTCTGCCTGATGCAATCAGAAACCTGTGTCTGGGAAGTATTTTCCTTTAACACACTTTTTGTTGGTATCCAATTCAGATGCAAATCCCAACCCATCCTCACACAGAGTATATAGGAATGGGTCAGTTATACATTGCAGTAGTTGATGATGTTATACTTAAAGCAAAAGAATTAAATTGAGAGAAAATACATCTGCATCACTTAGTGGTCATGTACTTCAATCCCAGATTATCCAGCGCATTTCACACTGGTATTTTTCTGACTGTTCAGTGTAGATTGTAAACTCCTTGGGGCTGGGACCATGTCTTCATCTTTTAGTAATGTACCAACTACTCTTGTGGCACTCAGCAAATAATAAATAAACAAGCATAAGGAACTACTGCTTCACACAAGGCAGAGTCTCCTTGTGGAATTCACTACCAGGGGATGCTGTGAAGGCCAAAAATATAACTGGATTCAAAAAAGAATTGAATAAATTCATGGAGGTTTAAAACAAACATATGGAAGTACTTCTTCACATGCACAGTCAAGCTGCAGAACTTGTTGCCAGGGGTTATTGTGAAGACCAAAAGCATAACTGGGTTCAAAAAAGAATTAGGTAAGTTCATGCAGGATCAGTACATCAATGGCTATTAGCTCTGGGTGTTCCTAAAACTCTAACTGCCAGAAGCTGGGAATAGATGACTCAATATTGGATTACTCAACAATAGAGTGACCAGACAGCAAATGTGAAAAATCGGGACAGGGGGTCGGGGGTAATAGGAGCCTATATATGAAAAAGACCCCAAAATCAGGACTGTCCCTATATAATCGGGATATCTGGTCACCCTACTCAACAATTGCCCTGTTCTGTTCATTCCCTCTGAAGTATCCGGCACAGGCTGCTGTCGGAAGAAGGATACTAGACTTGATAGACCATTGGTTTGACCCAGTATGGCCGTTCTTATGTTCTTAGTGCCAATCTAGACCAGACTCCATAAGATCACTCAACCAAGTGAATCAAGACTGTGAGAAATTAGTGCTGGTCCAGTCTGCAGAGATAACAGTGACCCAGGACAGCATGATGGTCGGGGTGAATACAAGACTGACTTACACAGACTCTTACTTCCTTACTATTTGCCCCTACTGACCACCCTGAATAGTGGCTCTAAACATTCACAACTAACACCAACCAGTCATGACTCAATGAGATCCGAGTAATGATACAGCCCAGACATTGTGAGATTTAAGCACTGATCCAGTTTTGGTTTTGTGGGATCTTGAATGAATAAAACTGTACAGTGTAAACTTGAAAATGTGGAATCTAGTGATCATTTTGTATAGAAACATTCAATTTAAAAGAAAAAGGAAGAAGACAAGAAAAATCATTCATAATCCCAAATGATTTAGCCAAATACAAACAGAAATACCATAACTGTAGATTTTAAAAGTGAAAAAACCCCCATGAAATGAATTTGTTACCTAATTAGTAATTATCACCACCCAATTAACCTGCTGCAGAACAGGATGGATCTATATAAAGCCAATAAGAACTGGGATCTTTTGCAGGGCATATGGGGGGCTTCCCTCTCATTATTATTTTCTGTTTCTTCCCTAAAGAAAACCTCTTTGAATCTGAGGTTGTATCCCCCTGGGATCCTGCATGACTCAATAAAACTATGGGACCTGAAGAGAAAATACTGTTAAACAAACTGAAAATTGATAGCTACAGGGAGAGAATGGGGGAAGTCAAGGGAAGCCAGTTTTATTGTAAATATGGCAAATTCCAAAGCACGTGTCTTGGTCCCTCAGACACACAGAGATGGCTGCATGCGAATCCCCTTCTCAGAAAAGAGGATAGTTCTGTAATATAGAAACCAAGAAACAGTCTCTCTTGAGGAAAAAAGAATTCTCATGTTGGAAGAAAGCAGTTATGTGTTTTGTCCAGTATCCTGTGTCTGACAGTACCCAGTGCTGGACACATCAGAGGAAGAGGTAAAAGTTACACAGCGCATCCCAATTTCTCTTCCTATATTAGAACATGGAGAGAATGTCACATTCCAAAGCATGCTTCTTGTTATTGAACGCAAGAAGTTAGGAGACAACCGGAATCCTTTGCTTAGAAAAGAAAAGAGATTTATATGATTGAACGAAGAAACCCCCCTTTAAGACACAAAAGCATTCTCATGTCACAGTACAAAGCACATAGGGCCAATCGTCTGTCTAGTCCTCTGTTCTGTCTCTGACAGTGGCCAGTACTGAATACATCAGAGAAAGATCTAAAAGCTCCAGATTATACCAAGTTATATTACCTAATTATACTATACCTTGGGATGCAATGTCTTTCTGACCTCAGCTGATGATCGGTTTAAGCATTAAGAATGTTTTAAAACCCAGGAAATTAGAGTTCACAGGCTTGTTTTTTAGGCTTTCTCTGGAACCATGATCGTGAGCCCTACTTAAACTCTGCTGAATTAATTACTTGTGAAACAAGAAGAAAAGCTCATGGCTGGTCACACTTGTAAACAACTTAGCATATCATTTTATTATCTGTGAATGAAAGAAACTATCTTCACAATTGTATCCAGGTGGCTCACCTGATCCCACCCATCTTTGGTATCACTCAAGCCATCATGGCTAAATTCTTATGGCATGGTGTGACTGGGTATAATTTGTCTGCTGCTGTATCAAGACACAATGGCGTGAACTCAGCTCAGACAGGAAACACAGATTGAACTCTCAGCTTTCAGGTGTTTGTTTCAATATGTTTTTTCCTGGCTTAACGTAGTTCTATGTACTTGGGTATCTCCTTTTTTCTGCTGGAAGATGTCTTCTTTAGCATAGCCAATCACATAGTATGCTCATGTGGCATCCTCTAGTGGCAAGCACAGAAAATGTGATAGAATTTACAACACAAACTCTTCACAGGCTGAGGGACCATCATTCACGTATATGACTAGAGAAAGGGACAGCCTCATGAAAGTAACATACTTTATAACTTCGTAATAGCTACCATTAAAAGACTATGAAGTTTCTACCGGCTCCTTGTTCTGTATCCTCGAGATACAACAGTCTTTCCCAAACCCTGTGACCTTTTTTCCCCCATGAATATGTGCCCTTAACCTCCCAGAGAACATGCCTTCTAGTTCCTGATCCTAACCAACCCACTCCCATCCTCTCCACACTTTGGCCAGTTACTGCATTTGTTACTGTTGCTTTGTGTTACGTTGTTACTGTCTCCAAGGGAGGAGAGACTCTAACTTCAACCTTCAAGTGTGTTTGTTTTTCTGAAATCTGGGAATTAATCATCTCTGCTTGTATAACAGAAACACGCAGGAAAGCAGATGAGGCCATGTCTGTGGAATGTGATAATACATGATCCTGTGGGTAACGTGCTGACTGAAAATGAGAAAACTAAGATAAGAACCCAGTGCCTTATCCTGAGTGCATAAGGGTTCAGCTTGGTGAGGTCCCAGACTGACACCTTTTCATGAGTTGGCACAGATTATATTCCTATCTCTTTCCCTGTAGCAGCCAACCATCTTCTCCTCTGTGACTCTGACAGCATTGCTGCTTCATGCAGCACAATACACTTTCAGCCACTACAGTCTGCTGATCTCAGAGCATGAAAATCAGGCTAAACACTGAGGGAGAGATCCTCAGCTGGTGTAAATTAGCATAGCTCCACTGAATCTGATTTACACCACCTGAGGATCTCCCCCAAAGACTGAAATGAGACTGTAACCCTAGACTTAGCTTACAGCAAATAGACATTAAAGATAAACTTGCCAAGAAGAACTTGGGAGACCTGATTTTTCCCCTTTCTATTAGAGGAGCCAACACAAATTGGTGAATGAAGAGACATCCCCAGTATGGTTCCTGGGCTATTAACTCCTATACATTGCACTGAACATTGCTATACATTGTATTGTAGGAAACGCTGCGTTCACGCAAGAGAGTGCAATTTGTTTGAAGGGTCTATGAGGGCACAAAGCACATAGCTATAGAATACAAAGCATACTTCTGCAGCGACCTCAAAGATAGGTAATTTATGCTGGCTATATATCCAACATCTGTAGGAACTGAAGATGAGAAGGGATACAAACACATTAATAGTTAAAAATTACTAATAAAACTGTGAAGGGAAAATTTTAGAGAACCAATGAAACTTCAAACAGGGTCACTATCTATCCTAATTTAATGGGATACCCCTGATTTTGACAGCTGACTTGCATCTTGCATTAAAAGCATCTCAAAATACCATATCTTCAAGGCTGAGATAAAGTAATGATGCTATGCTGCTATATCACAAAGTGATGACTACAGCTGATGGGAAATTTTCCATCAAGGTATTTTTTGGGGAGAAAATGGCTTTTTGAAATTTTCATGCCATCTCTGGGATCTAGCTATGGACATGAAAATCTTACATGCAGGGGTCAGCTTTAGTTAAGAAAGAACGATAGAATAGTAATGTCATGATTAATGACATGAAAGTGGTTTGTCTTTACCAAGCCCCACCCTAGGCAGCAGAATTTAGCGTAGGCTTTTTAGTAATTCCCTGGTTTGGCACAATTGCCAATGTTAATATAATAATGTCCAGCAACTGTGTGCAAGGAGGAAATCCACTGTATTGGTCATGGAAAACTATGCCTGCAGACTGCCTTTCTGCAAGTCAGCATAAGAAATTTGTATCAACAGAGATATCCTTCCATGCATAGATGATTGTGTAGTAATCT